TACACAGCAGTGCCAACAAACGGAATATTTGCCAGGAAGATACCGTGCGCATTAATACGTCATCCGGAAATCAAACGTGATATCTGAAGGAAGATTTATCTTTGTTTGCATTATTCACTGCTCGAATACGCTGTTATACCGTGAAGTGTAGCAAGTTGGGTTACTCTTATTCATAATCTGAATTTTACCTACGAATCTTTCGAAGCTGCGTTGGGTGTATAAGAAAACGAGTAATGCGAAGTCCTTCTGTCATATTTCATAGTTGCAGGTGGTAAATAAATTCTCTGCTTTTGTTGAACCACAACGTTCATTACCGTGTATCACAAATGCATGTTATTATACTTTTTTAGCCAAACTAATCCAGTCTACGTCATGAGAACCTGTATTTAGGTTTTTTTAATATTATCATTGATACTCGTTAATGAAATAATTGCCGTTATCAGGGAATCGTGATTCATTTTATTCATGTTTAGATTCTATTCTCTTTGCTGACTTGAACAATCTCTGTTATTGTAATGTTGTTCGTGCAAAATATGTTTCGATCCAACCATTTAGCGCATGGATAGACTGGCATCTTAATTTTTTTATAATATTATAAAACTATAATATTATTAAAATGTTTTCTACTTTTATTCTTGATAACGCGTGTTCTCTTATTTATGCTTTATGTGTGGAAACAAATTTTGGTGCTTCAATAAAAATAATTGTATAAGTGGTTGATAATTCAGAAGACATTTATTGTAAAATGTTTATTTTATGTTTTGTGTTAGAATTTAATGATTACTCTCCTCCAATTCATTGCCTTTTATGCTAGCTGGAATCAATAAAAAGCCAATCACAGGTTATTCTACAGTGCACGCTTTCAGTCTACTGTTAATGGACTGAATCTCCTACAAAGAGACCGTTCTATTATCATTATTTTCTTTTTGCTTGACACAAAATGACATCAAGAATGGTCTAATAAATCTGCACCACTGTATAGAAGAAGCGAATAAGTACAGCATAAACTTATTTTTATATAAAATGTCAATAAGCTGTCAGGTTAAAACAGCAAATATGAAGTTAAAATTCGAATTGATATAGACAAACTGATCTTGGACCGTTCTGAAATGTACGAGGTGCGATCGGAAAGTTTCAAGACTGTGTCAATAGAGGGCGAACCGGATGTAGTACGAGCTTCTGCCGATACATTCATAGTGAATCAGTGTGCCAGCCGGCATCATCGAATTAGCATTTGTTTCTTAGTTACGGGCGTTTTGGTAGTGCATTACACCGACCCTCCTGCGATTTCGGAATGGCGCGTGTGCATCAAATTTTGCCAAAGACTCGCCAAAACGGCTACGGAAACCTATGAAATGCTAAAGCAAACATTTGGGGAGTCCGCAAACTTTTGTGTGGCATTCACGTTTTAAAAATGACCGAACCTCTGACGCATCATGACAACGCGCCAGCGCACACCGCCCTCAAAGTTCGGCAGTTTTTGGCCTCAAACACCATGGCCGTCATCCTGCACCCTCCTTATTCGCCGGATTTAGCTCCGTGTGACTTCTTCCTCTTCCGAAAGATGAAAATTCAAGGGAAGGAGATTTGAGACGATAGAAGAGATTCAGGCAGAATCGCAGATGGTGCTTGACAGGCTGATAAAGAAAGATTTCCAGGGATGCTTCCAGGCTTGGCAGCGGCGCTGGGATCGTTGTGTTCACTCCCAGGGGAACTACTTCGAGGGTGATGGATGAATTTAATACCTGAGATAAGTGTACGGGTTTTTATAGGCGCAGTCTGAAAACATTTCGATCGCACCTCGTATACATTATCTAGTTACACTGACTTTGCTGCAGAATCGATAGAAGTCGTTTGACTTGTTTCCTGTCAATACTCTCTTTGTACAGAGTGTGAGTAATATACATAATTAACACTAGGCACACCTACAAAAAATGTTTGGCGAATTTAATTATACGACTTATCATAACAATAAAACTTCTACTTTGTATGAAGTTCAAACTGAAACTCATAAATTTTCTCTAAGCCAGGGCATCATTTAACAAGTTTTATTTTAAAAGTTTTTGATAATTATAATATAATAAAAATAAATATATTTTCTGGCTCTGTACAGTACGTATGTCTGTAGTGCATGTAGCATTGCGGGATATTCGTTTATTTACGTATTTATTTTAAATAAACGAATATCAAATTCCAGGAGATTTGCAAGACAGTAAAGAATGCACCTGTAAAATGTGTACACATACTGGAGTACATCACTTCTCGGTTTTCAGCATTAAAATGTACAAGTTAAAGAACAGAGATTATGGTCCGAACTCTGAACGAATCATTGCCGTGGCCAGTCCCGAAACCGATCTTGCGCTTTCGTAATAGACGCAGACATCCTGTGGCTTAAACTGTATCTGAGTTCCGAGAAATATTTGGACTGATTATTACATCATTAAGAATTTAAGAAAGAAAAGGAATTGTTTTGTTATTCTTTATTTTACCCAACTCCAGCGTCTTCCAAATGTTTTGCAAGGAGCTAAGTACTTTAATATAAATAAGAATAATTTTATAACTCAAAAATACAAGCGATATGCCGATACACAAGAGAAAAATAGGTATTAAATTTTATTTATCTCATTGATTTGTCGATATTAATTTACTTTAATGATATATAGCAATTGAAAGTGTTAACCTACATGATTACTGTAAGAAAACCTGCTTAATTGAAAATATTGTGGATGTTTGCTGATTTAGAACGTTGTGAAAGCCTGGTGAGACATAAACTGAATCTGAATTTAGTGGCAGCCTACAAACATTTATATCAGATATAGTAAAAACAAAGCTGTGCTGTCCTTTCCTCTTAGATTTTACGACGACAAGATTAAACTCAAATGAAACATGCAGGCTGTGTTTAACAGTGACATTTTCTCCGAGTGCCACTGCTATTTGCTTATCAGTTATCGTGCAATTTATTGTGTGAAAGCAAGGTGCCAGGAATGAGTGCGGAATAACTGATAACATTTCCAGCATACACTTTAGTCGTCGTATTTTTTAATTGATTTTGTTTTGTATGTTTGTCGGTTCCTCTAGCAGCCCGAATTTCCTCAGGCCTTGTGGCGGAGAAGCCTCCAACTATTCCCTCTGAGAGGATTAGTGATTGGCTATTTGTAGAATTGTGAGACATTATCGCTTCATTATACAACAGTGATTACTGAATGATCTCGTATCGCCACTCCTCAAGTAGTTTATTAATTTTGAATTTTAAATGTAGTGTCAATGACATTTTAAACTCTAGAACGGCACGTGTGTTCACTGTCATGTGAAATATCGCGTGGCGTAGTACAATTATTCTGCAGGAGTTGAATCTGATAACACCTTATTGTTTAGGTTCGTACTAAACCCCTAACTCCAATAAAATAATTCTTTACCCTGGGAGCATTTCCTCATACGTTCACAAAACTAGACAATAAAATAATTTAAACACGTTTATTGTTATTGAAGGAATTTGGTAATTATGTTTAAGTTTCAGGCACTTACATAACCTGAAACTTGAAATTCTGTTTAAGCAAAAGTACCATCCTTGCTTACTGACCTGTCGGAAGACCAAGAAATGGATGATCGTTGGAGATCACTAGTCAGTTACAATCTTGATGTCGAAACAGATCCTTTATTGGCCAACTCCGTTACCAGAAAAAGAGAACGTTTTACATTATTCTGCAATGTTAAAAGAAAACTAGAAACTGGCGGACGAGTTTATAAAGTAAAGAAATAAATGCTGTCCCGCTGCACACCATGTAGGCGCTTGGCGGGGGGGATCGTACAGTTGCTACTCATTATTAACCTCGGCATTAGATAGGAGTGAGTGGTTAGCGTCACGCCCCGGCCGCTCTTAACCCCTAATAAAGGACTCCGATACCCATTAGATAGTGAATAAGCCCCTTTTCAAATCTTAGTTAAGAGCTATATTTGACGTACACAGTACATTACTTTTACTTTTACGAGATTTTTGACTTGTTCTTAAATGAATACATACTCATCGTAAATTTCATATTGCCCGTGAACAGATTGGATAATGAGTCCTAGTAAGGTTAATCATACATTTGCTTTCTTCGATATAATTATGTACCCTTAACTGAGGCATCTACCTACGAGGTGCGATCGGAAAGTTTCTAGACTGCGCCTATAAAAACCCGTACACTTATCTCAGGTATTAAATTCAT